CGCGGAGAGCTTTACGAGATCTGAGCTCTACCACGACTCCTTCCTGATACGTGAAGATGTCGGACTAGAGAGCGCCTTGAAAAACAGCAAGGAGAAAGGGCTGCGGGATAGTGCAGTTCCCCCTGCACAGGGCAAACTGCTCAAACTTCTCGCGCAGTCTATCGGAGCAAAGAGGATACTCGAAGTGGGTACGCTCGGAGGGTGCGTGTCGGGGAAGCGGCTTGGCTACTTGCCGTACTAGAGCATTGCAGCTCAAATCCAGTTAGGTATTCAACGATATGGCTGGCTCAAGCACTTCAACCCGACGGAGAGATGGTCACTCTTGAAATATCAGAGGACAATGCAAAGGTTTGCTATCTTTGTCGTATGTGATGTGATCTACATAGGCTAAGACGTGGCAGATTGCCGGAGAAAATTTGGCAACAGCCGGACTGCGCAATACCCAAGTGGTGGTCGGGGATGCAGTCGAAACAATGGCCACCCTGAACCCAGAGGTGCCCTTTGATTTTGTCTTTATAGACGCCGATAAGCCAGGTATTCCGACATATTTCCGCGAGGCCAAACGCCTTGTCCGAAAGCGTGGCGTAATTGTATGAAACTTTGCATTATAACGTGTTCACTCGCTGACACCTTGCTGTAGATCGTCGATAATGTCGTGCGCAATGGTGATGTCGCATGTCCATCGTGGTCCGATGCTTCCGCCGAGGGAGTGCGAACCTTGTTGGCGGCCTTGAAGGATGACAAGGAAGTTGACGCAACAACTATCGCGACAGTGGGTAAGAAAGGATATGACGGCTTCCTATATGCCATCAGGCTGTAAACTCACGGTAGCTCACCCATTTTCTGCTGGAATGTTCCCATGTATTTTACGAGCAAACTATGAGACGAATTAAAAGAGATACATAGCTGAAAGAATCGTATCTAATCCATGACAGGTCACGACCCAACTATTCCTTCGACTGAACGGTGGGTAGATGCGTTGTCACTCGAAATCGAAATGATATGTGCCTGCTAGTGTGTAAAGCTGTCCACGGAGATCACTTGCAGGCTGTCCGTTTCTGCTCTCTACGCGGGCTTACCATGCCTATGTCCAATGGTGGTCTGCATACCGTTTTAATGCTATACCAGGACCAAAACCGCTCATATGGTGCATAACACCTTCGTGAGAGTCCAAAAAAGCATTCGAACATTCTCCTAGCAACCCTCAGGCTGGCGTCCCACCACGTCAGTGACAGAAAAGGCTCCTTTCGCAGGTTTCTCATCAGTTGGGTTCTTTACAGTGCGAAAACATGGACTTTCACAGCATGGCGATTAATCAGATGGGCTTAGGAATGGAAGTGCTTTGGACTGTGACCATATCTTTCATCTCGGACGGGTTGAGGTAGGGTTCTGATGCGGCAGGACCACGAAGACGGCGACATATAATGGCAAACATAGGTGTACTGCGGCATAGGTGAATGTCTCTCTATCTTTGGACGTTTTTCTTCTTGTTTTTCCAGTCCTTCGCGTGGCCCGTATAAAAGCACTCAGGGAAGCTGGCAAAAGAATGCTCGAACAGCTTGTCCAAGTGGTGGGTATTTTGTTTCACCCACATAACCCAGCGCTTCATCAAGCGCAAGCTCCAGTAAACGAGCGGGTAGCACATGATTTCGCTGTGGCGAACTCATTTTCCCCTGGAAGAGAAGTGGTCAATAGGTATTTCAGCGCCAAAAGGGAGAAGCTTAATTCTGATCTACAGTGCCATCTAGATGGGACGACATTATCTAGGGGGCAGATGCTGCTACCCTGGCCTTGACACTGCTTGACAAAGACATTTGAAGCGTGTAGATCGGGGTGCCACATAACGGGTCTTGTTTGCTCGCGGTGAGGCGGAATGAGGATGGGCACAAGAGTTGTGTACTCGGACAGCAACGTGATGTGATCGTTGCGGTTACCCTGACCGGGAAGGGCGCGATTGGATTGTCCGGGGCGTGTGGTGTCCCGAAGTGGGATATCCGTTCTTGCTCTCTGCACGCAACGGCCTTAATGTAGTCTTCTGCAGTTTGCCCTTGCTCAGGCCGTCAGAAGCAGATGTGGCGGACCCAAACAAGTACTTACAGGGACCTCTATCGATATCCATGTCCCCCTCTCGGCACGCGATGGGTCCAATGCAGAATTCGGTGTTTAACTCGTCGTTAGGGGAAATCCTCTCGAGCAGCGTTGGAGCACGGAGTGAAGGAGGGACGTCATTCTTGTAGTACAAGCTGCCATAGTGCATAAATTCAAGTTCCAGCAACTGATGTTTACACTCTCCGAGAGTCTTACCAAACATCCCTCGCTCACCCCTCGGGAGACCACTCCAGACCTCCGAAAGAAGAAATCAAGACGCTTTCTCCATTGGAATGAATTCGGCGCCAGCGTCCGTGCTCGCCGCATGGGAACTCCACGCAAGAATGCGCGGGATTGGGAGTGCCCGTCGGCGGCGCAGGAAGTCGATGGTGGCAGCTTCGCTCGCAGTTGCGAGGTGGGGAGGTCCTGCTAGACGGGTGGGAAATCGCGCGATGGCTTCGCGGCCAGTGTCGAACCGAACCAGGAGTACCCTGTTGACGGATTCGTTAATCTTGACCAGGTCAGTAACAGCATTTGCACCGACAGCCTCCGCCGCCACCCGGCAAAATGCTGCAATATTGAACGAGACTGATCGTGCATCTCGATGTTCCTTGTCGTTGCATTACCAGTAAACGATAAGGAGTCCAGATCTGTACAAGTGTCGCAGGACGATGTTAGTGCGGAAACGAGTGAAGCAGAGTTCATACCTGACCTGAATTTGCAGCTTTCCGTGTTGTTTGAAACCTTTCCGCGAATCAAAGAAACCAGTCTTGTGAAGGCGGTTGTGCAATTAGCAGGGAGTCAGTCCCGGTGTAGGTTGGTAACACTGACATTGCATTGCACATTTGGATCTCTGCTAGGCCGAAGAACCTGCAGGGAACCCTCCATCCCGAGAGATTTTGGCTCTACTAAAATTCGATTATATCCGAATGTTAACCCTTCCTCAGGACGCCGAGCCGAGCCACTGATCGGTTATTATGGGGGCTAGCCAGTGGGACCCTCTGATGATAGCTCACTCCATTTATTAAGCACACTTTCTTTATTTGGTGGCGACTTACTTGAAGTTACTTTCGCTCCGAAGTTTTGAAGCGGTGACTCGTCGGAGTTGTCGATCGCTGGTGTGTACTTTCTGTTGCTGTTGCGGCTGCGCGGTCGTGACCATTAAATATTAAATGTGGACGTAATCCTTACTGCAATAGTAAATAAGCCAACAAGGCCTACGTTATGAGCATCTCGGATATATTGATGCAGCAACAC